CCAACAATATAATCCACCGGTTGTGGCCACACGAGTAGAGGGGTCATGTCATGAAGCTACAGCGAGCACTTAGCACACCTCTGTGATTGGCCCAAATATAGTATGACATATAACCCTAGACATGAATTATGAATCAGTTGTCATTGAAAACGGTGGATATTCGAGAGAAATTGATGCAGAATACAAAAATAAATGGAGCTGGATTGAGAAAGAAGCAGATGGTGTATGACTTCAAAAGTTCATTAGAAAATTGAACAAGCCGGGTACTGCACTTTGCGATTGGTGCAACAAAGAAGTCTCATGATACAGTGGCAAAGGTGTTGCCTCCTTAATCTAGTACTGCTCTACTTCGTTGCGCGTCTAAAGTGACAGAAATATTTTTATGAGATACTAGCTGGCGACAAACACTGGATTTTTAGTCACCAAACTGGGTCAAATGCTTGTTAGTCAACTTAGTGTCTTAGGGTTTTTTGTGTCAAATACATTTTAATTCGGTCGAGTTAACAAATTAAATATGACACTTTTCCCTTCCAAAAACATAGATGTTCCAATATATTGCCTCTGGATCTCACACTAGTTTTACTCTGGCCTTCGTAGAGGGCGCGTACGCCTTTGCATGAATTTCCTCCTTTTTTGAAATTCCAGAGTGGCAGCTACGCTGATTCCACTGCGTTGTGACACATGTGAACCCAGAGCTGAGCAGTGAGCTGCCTATTTTAGTTTTTAATGTGTCTTCTTTTGTGTGAATTTCAGGTACCAGTAAAGATGAGCACCTCTGAAAACAGCTCAATCGGAGCCAGACACGAGGATGAGAGCATGGATCAGATCATGGCTGATATTGAAGATTTTTTTCAGGACGACTCGGACCAGTCGGCCTATGTAGCCAGCCTTGACCTTGACACCAGGGCGATGACCTCAGGGGACACCGCTTCTATACTGGAGCAGAATGCCTGTACTATCGGCAAGATATTGGAGGAGTGTGAAAGCTTGACAGCGTCAACTTCAAATAGTGAACAAACTGGTATCGAGGAAAGTGGATCTGTGAATGAAGCGACAAGTAGCAGTGAAGTCCCTGGTACTTCTGGAGTGCAGACTGCTGATCGGTTTATTGAAACGCAAAGAAAGCACCCCGTTGTTCTTCTCACGCGGCTTTCAGCAGAAATAATTTCAGCTTCTCAGAAAGTTTCTTCTAAGGGTAAAGGAAAGGCTGGTGTTGCAACAAAGGCAAAAGGCACTCCCACAAAAGCTCAAGAGACAAAGAAGGGAAAAGTTTATGGTGAGGACGATGCATTGTCAGACTTATCAGTGTCAGATGCATCCTTAACAGATTTTGCTGAGTTCGCAAACTCTGATGAGCATGATAAGCAAAAGAAGTCTTCTGATTTTGACGGAAGCTCTGATATTCTGTACGTCCTTGGGTCAGCCTGTAGCCAGGAAGGAGAGGCTTCTTCGTCCTCTGGTAAAAACCAGGGCCAAAATTCTTCTGTTAAGACTAAAGCCCAAGGAAAGACATCTGCCAGGCCAGAAAAGCATAAACGGCAGACCGAAGGCAAAGTGGAACCAGCAAACAGAAAGAGGAAACTGGAGCCCTCAAATTCAAAGCAAAAAGACCAGATCTCTAGTAAAAGTGCCAAGCAAACAAAGCATGTGCCAGAATCTGGCCAGACGCAAAAAGATTCCCAAACAACGGGAGATTCTACCCCGTTGGCCTCACCAAAAGGCGTTTCAGAGGAGAAGTGTAAGCAAAGCGAGGTTCCAGTAAAACTGGCGGACGCCATGAAGCAAGAGTCCAAAAATCATGAACCAGGTAAGCCTTTCACCCTGAACAACTTTGTAGTCTGTTTGTTCCAGTACATTCACTCTAGAGATCTCAATGGGGGCTCTCATGGTCCAGAGGTTAAGGTGTTTGCCTCTCATTCGTCAATAGCTCTGGGTTCGATTCCGGATAGCAACGGGAACATTCTCTTCTCTAAAATGTTCTCCTTTCACACCCTTTCCTGCTCTCTAACAATAACCTGTTGTCTGCTTTCGTTCGTCTCCCCTTTCTGCCCCCACCACTCAACTCCTTTGCCCTCTCCTCTGGGCTCCTGACTCTTTCTGCAGCCTTTCCACTGCCGCTCCTTGGCTCCTTTTCACTACTAAGTTTCAGCCACACCCCTGATCTTATAGTAGGAAAGACCTAGCCTTCTGGGATAAGGGCGGAAAATCTCGGAGGTCCCCTATGCAAGTTGCGCATTTTAAAGATCCCTTGGTAATCCAAAATCGATAAGAGTAGGATTCGGCCACCACCCGGTATGATGTGTAAGGCACTGGAAATATTCAAACCATACTGTCTTCTTTCAACAAAAAGAAGTTGGAAGTCTTAAAAGATTATTTTTTATATTTACCCGGGAACTGTTTTTTCCTTAAAATCTGTAGTATTTTGAAATGATTGTTGATATGTGTGCATTCTTCTTCTTTCTATTTCTTCTTCTTCTTCTTTTTCTTCTTCTTCTTTCTTTTTCTTCTTCTTCTTTCTTTTTCTTCTTCTTCTTCTTCTTCTTCTTCTTCTTCTTCTTGTTCTTTCTTTTTCTTCTTCTTCTTGTTTTTTTTTTCTTCTTCTTCTTCTTCTTCTTCTTCTTCTTCTTCTTCTTCTTCTTCTTCTT